TGTATAACCTAATTAAAATTCTAAACCCCCTTATAAGGTTTTTAATTACTTGCTAAAGCTATTGGCCAGATGGTTAAACATAATAAAAATAATAACACTCTGAGAGGAATGAAGAAAATGTTATCAAATTGAACAGGGGAGAGGGAGAGTAATCTGAGAACATTACATTTAGATAGATCGCAAAAGCACTGCTCCTTTTAAAAAAAGTGATTCTTGTAGCATGAGAAGTCATTTGACAAACTTCATATCATGCTGCTTATTTGCAGCTCTGACTTGAGGTAGGTTACTAAACTGCAGGAATACGCATGACTTTTCACTATGGATTTAAGAGTTAAAAAAAAAGTTTGCTTTTACTTCCTAGAAGAGGGACTCAGACCTTCATGTAATTACAAGGCCACTGAAGTAGAAATGAGCTTAGAAGGGACAGAATTATGACAAAGGGAATGTCTCTTGCCTTTGTCCTACTGTGTGTACCAGGGTTTTGACTGTCTGTCTCTCATACACACACAGACACACACACACCACCCATCTCTGGTTCATGTATAAAAAGGTTTCTGTGGCTCCTAACTCAGGAACACAGGGAAGGCTGTGCTGGGGCCTGAGCCCAACCTTCACAGAGGCCTGTATCTGGTTTGCACTTGTGGGCAAGGACCCTGGAGGGCATGCATTGGTGCCTCACAGTAAGATCCCATCCTCCTCAGCTAGGAGCAGGCAGCAGCGGCTGTCCAAACAGGTATGCTGAGGAGAGACCCGGATGGGTGCCATGGTGCCGTCACCCACTGCCTTCTGTAACAGCAGAGGTTTCCTCTTTTTGATTCAGGGCTTTTACTACTAATTAGATGTTAGTCTTCCACATTTGCTCAAAGCCTGGGCTTTTGATATTTTCTTTCTGACCCTCCAGAATGCAGTTGGTGCTGTAGTTTTCTCCCTCACCTGAACATACTGGGAACATGACATCCAGTTCAGAGACCAGTGCAGCTCCACTGGCTGCACCTTCTCGGTATGCTGGTATCTACAGGAAAGGATGGGGCAGATGTTATTTTTTGCCACTTGGTGTAATATGGAACGTGGCCCAAGCAACAGTAGCTCTTGACATTACTGTTTAACAGTTTCACACCTGATAAGTGTGGAGTACAATTCAGTCTGAAACTGTATATTTCATGTACTTTTATAGTAAATTGTGCTAATTAGAAGCCAGAGTCCAGCAAATTGAAAGACAGTTTTAGCTAAAAGCAAAAAAAAAAATAATTATAATCTCTTCCTGATCATGACAAATGCTTCAGGATATAGTTAACTATCCCTGTCTCCCAAATGTAAAAGTGGCTTTAATAGAAGAATTATTTAATAACCAGTTTTCTGGAAAATTTATGGATATGGAATTGTTTGCCCCTCTAAAACTTAGAGTCAATGAGAAGCAAAGCATTATTCAGAGGTTGTAGATATCCTAGTAAGGTCCTTGAAGGGCAAAAGTAATGTAAAAGGCACTTAACTAATGATAAGCTCCATTTCTTCCTCTCTCCTTGCATTTATGTAAGATGGTTGGGCCTTCAGGACAAATTTCTGATGATGCTTCAGTGCATAAAATTAATGAAAACCCAGGCAAACTTCTAAAAGGAATGCATTAAGGGCCAGCTTGTGAAATGTAAGCTAGTTCCCTTGCAGTGTGATATTCCCTGATTTTTTTTTTTTTGTTGTTGTTGTTGTTGTTCATACTCCAAATTGCTTTTCTATTATTAGGGGGGCAAGGAAATCATTTCCAGCCATGTAGTGATGACCTGATCTATGCATTGAACAAGGAGGTTTCCTGGTGTGGTTGGGGAATAGCACATATATGGGTGGTGCCAGTTGAACTCCTTGCATTTCAAAGCCAGCCTTTCTGCTAGCATCACAGTCCTGGAGTCCTAGATCAGACTCAGGTGATCTTTATTTTGTTGGCTGTTAATATCACAGTTGGCCCCAGTGATGCTTGAGGCCCAGAATGACATGGCCATAAAAGTGTGCACCCTGTGTGGCTCTGATTCCTAGTTAGGGGTCAGGCAGCCAAGAGACAGTGGGTAGCTTCTGTCAGTTACAAGGCAGGCCTTGTTCCTCACATCTGCCACTGTGAGAGAAGCACATCCAGGCAGTGTTCTTGAGGCCTGGGACTTGTAGGGTTTGTAGACTCTAACTCAACCACAGGGTCTGAAGTAAAAGTGAATCAAGTATTCTCAGAATTTTTGTAGAGAAATTAAGTCTTGCCAGGCTCTAGTTTGAGTAGCTCACTCCCCCCCATGAGAAATGAAGTCATCCACAGTAGCTACCCTTCTGTTTTCTTCCTCAGGTTTTCCTTGCTTTAGCTTCTGAGTATAAAATAGTGTGGAAACAGTGAGGATGAATTGCTCTGAAAAGCATGTTGAGTTCCTGAGAAATAAAGTGAGAGTCAGAAACCAGGTCTGATCCATTTTGGAGATCTGATCCAGGACAATTTAACCCAGAGTGTAGCACCTTGCAATCACTCACTGACTCTTTTTGCTGATTCGATGAAACGGTTTTAGCAAGTGATAGCACTATTAAGCCTTATTGATGTTTCCTTGAGAAGACAGAGCTCTGGCCATGCTGTAAGAAGTGTGGAATCAGCCAATTATGTGAAAGTGATTTCCTTCAACTGCAGTGAGGGATAGTCACTCAGCCTCAAAAATATAGCCCATTCCCTGGCCTCTAGTCCAATGCAGACAGAAGCCACATGCAGAGTGGTTAAAACAAGAGACTCAGAAAATATTTTCATGGTTCAAATCTCTGCATGAAGGGGGATGAGGTTTCCTAGTGAGAATTTTCCAGGACCTGAGGCCTGCCTGCCATGGGGGAAGGTCAGCAGTTTGGGGCTAGGTCTGTCCCAGATTAAACATGTTGGCCATGCATGTTTCCCACATCCTCAGCATCAACTTGTGAAATTCCCCATGTGTTGTTTCAGAGGAGGGATTTTTACCCCCATCACTGTGTGCTTAATTCTGATGGCTCTAGCTTTGTATGGGGAACTTCTGTGAGACTGCAGGAGAGAAGAGCCTACAGCCTCAAGGCGCTTGCTTTCCAGGAAGGAGAGAAGCAAGTACTGTTATCACAATGTGATGCAGAATTGATGCTAGAAGCTCCCCACAGAGGGAGTTGGGATTGCACATGAAGGAACCCTGTCAAGGAGCCCCGTCTTGAGGAATATGTGGATAGGAATTTGGTGACAAGGATAAGAGGTGAAAAAGAAAGAGGGAAAGCCTGGGGTGGCTTTAGAGAGCAGCGAATTTCCAAGGGCTTAGACCAGAAGGAGGAAAGAGGCCCAGCTTGGAGAGCCCTGGATGTCACCTCTAGAGTTGTAGACTCTTCTTATCCTTTTAATGTTATATAGTAAGTATGATGACTATTTTGCCCAGACAAATATTGTGAGAACAGAATAAATTTTTTCCCAGAAAAGCTGAAAGTTCTTGTGAAGTCTTCACTTGGGGTTGTGGGGGTATAGCTCAGCGGTAAAGTGCTTGCCTATTATGCCCAAGGCCCTGGGTTCAGTCTCCACCACCACAAATAAAACATAACAGGAAGTTAATTTTTTCTTCTTTCTGAAAACAGTGCAATGATAAGTGAAGTAGTTGAGAGGGTCCGATACCCTTTTGGCTCCAAGGTGGATACCAGCCTCAGTATACTATAGATTATCACCTCCGGTTTGACAGACAGGCTTAACAACTATAGACCAATTAGTCCAACTTCCTCAGACAAAATAAATGCAGCATATGTCTGGTATGTGGATCATCAATTATGTCTAAATGCTCTGTGTTATTGATTTGGCTTAACAGTGCCATCTTATGCCTTAAGGGTTTGTTTTATCTGATCGCAAATATTCAACATCAGTTAATATTTTATGAAACTTGATCATAACTTGAGGCTAGGAATAGGATAGAAACCATGGCTATGGCAAAGACAATTTTGCTACACTCAGGACATCTGAGACCAGAAACACAAACCCCTACTGAGCACAAATCCCATTTCCTGTATTGATGTTTCTATGGGCAATAGTGAGTTTTGACAGATATTCTCATTATTTATATAATCACTTTCCTCCAAGGACCATATTAATCAATGTTATATTCTCACAGACATTTACAAAGTGATTATTTACATCCCAGGTATGATCTAAGAGCTTTACAAATATTGTCATTTAACCCACATAATCACCATTTGAAGTAGATTCTGCTTTTATTATTCCTGTTTCACAGAAAAGGGAATCAAGACACTTAGTGGTCCCAAGGTCATATAGATGGTATTCATTGCCATTTGAATAGACTGGTGAATTAAAGTTGTGTCTCATGGGTTGTTTGATGTCTCTGGAGTGGAAATGGATAAAAACTTGCCTGAGAATATTGCATTCTATACTTTGCGGCAGGATTCTGTTCTTGGACCATTTTAATTGAGCTCATTATCCATAGTTTATGTCAGTAGTTATCTTTCAAGAAACTTTCCTCCCCTCCCCCCAGGTCTTTCTTCCTGATGGCTTGACTCTCCCCTTCCTTATCAGTCCAGGGAATGGCTGGACCAGAGGTGGCAAGAAACATACATTAGGAGATAGTACAGATGGAATTAAATTCCATAGCTTAGAAATAGAACTATTCTTTAGGGAAATTAGGAGTCAAATCAACTTTCAAGGGCCAATACTGGATACCAGTCACCATGTATGACGTTAAAGTAGGAAAATGTATTCTGAGTCCTACATAGCCTTTGGGCAGGCACTATCTATGTTTAAGAAGCTCATATCATCTAAGCACATGTGGTGGAAATCTGTTCCACATCTGTTCCATTTTGACTCATTCTTGACTTCATTGTTTTGTGGAAATACTAAATTTAGGGACATTGCACTCCTCCTAGTAGCCATTGATTCATCCAGAGTTTTATTTTCAAGTGGAGGCTCATGGTTGACACATCACACCACTATTGGGGCAGGTTATACATTCAGCAGTTTTCCTTTCTGGTTTTCTCCACAGACGTGTCTTCCCCACAGCATCGATCTTCTACCAAGATGAAGCCCATAGAGGAAGGGGTGGAGGATGATGACGAGGTCTTTGAACCAGTGTCTCCAAACACATTGAAAGTTCATCAGCTGCCTTGATCAGAATTCAACTTACCCAGGTGGAAACTGTCCTGAAGAGATCATGAGAAAATACCAGCACTTTTTCATGGCTTTTAGATTATTCTACTTCACTGCACTAAAGCTGGCACAGTCTGAGGGCAGGAAAGTGAGAAATGGTCAAAGATAGAAAAGTCATTTTTCCTGTCCTTTTTATTCATCAGCTTTTTTAAGTTTTATTGAGCCTTCTGTACTAAACCTCATTCTATTTTGAGATAGATATTTTCACAGTATTTTCTAGATACAGCATAGTATTGTTTTAACTGTTAAAATCTTAGGGCTCCAGTGCAAATGCTTTTTCACTTATTTTTCCAAGTTGCATCTTATTTTCCTCATGGAGAATTTTTTTTTCTCTACCATGGCAATCTAAAATAGGTTGTCCATTTGATAATTTTAATAAATGATATAAGTTGAAATTAAGGGTGAGGTCATGTTAGAAAGCAGGGAATGGTTTGCTTTGCTCAATTGATTTTTTATGGGAAATTTTAGAGAAAGATGCAATTCAACTGGTTTTCTTTTTCTCCCAGGCTAGAAGTGTTCCTTCACTAGATTACATTACTCATTTGAGCACTGTAAATAGCTCCATAATGACCAAACTCATCTGAGTGAACTCACATTGCCCTTATATTATGCCATGTATCTGCTGGTCTGAAACCTGAAGCTGGGGAATGATAATAAACAGAAGCATTTCTGAGCTCAGCATCATATTCAGCTCAACTCGGCCTCCTTGCAATTTGGAGCCATCTTGCACCAAACCACTGGATATAGAAATGCTTTACTTGCAGGGAATTGAGGGAAGTCAAGTGGCTGAGCAAGGTCCATGGGATAAGGTAGTGGAGGTCAGCTTCCTTCTTTGGTCTGCTTCTGGAGTGTCATGTTGTTCTCTAGAGGCCAGATACTCAGTCCCAGAGCTGTGGACTATGAATGCAGCTGTGGGGTACATGGTTCACCTCAGGTCATGCTATGGATGCCCACCCAACCTAGAGGGCCTCTGGGGGCCTTGATTCCACATCTCACCTTTCTGCTAGAATCATATTTCAGCCAGCAGTTATATTTGGCTGGTGGGAAATGACTTGCTTAAATAGTCTGGTTATTGTGTCTGTGGCACATGGCCAGGCCACTCAGTTGAATGAGGCCCGTTGATTGGCTATGCTAGTTGCATCCCATTCATGTTCATTTTTTTCTCACTTCCTAGAACCATCCCCATCACATTAAATAGCTAAGCAAAGTTCCAAATGAAATTAGCTTCAGGTGAACCAAGCCCAAAACAGTATCTCTTGCCATGAGGTGACTTCTGTTAGAGAACTAAAGGAAATGAGCCAGTCTAGGGCCACCTCATTTTCCTACATCCATTTCTTTGAAGCTAGGTATTTTATATTTCACTTGAGTTAAATTTACATGCTAGGTCACTCCTTGAGGACATTGACAGCTCCAGCTGTGTCCTCTAGCTCCTGACACCTTTATCAAATACTAGCTCATTCATGTCAGAGTGAAAGGGCCGACTTCTCTTTACTAGTATGGCAATCTCTTCAGTGTTTTAAGTTAAGAATTTATTTTGGAGAAGTGAAGCCGTGGTGAATGGTGTACTTGGCCTTGGCTTTAAGATTGGAGCCATCTATTAGACTGAACCATCTCTTTATGATCTGAGAGCGCACACACACACACACACACACACACATGCAACTATGATGTGATCATGTAGGTGCTGCTTTCCTTTAACCACTGGAGTGAGGTCAGGTAGTGCATTTAGTTTACACATGCATAAGACTAATTTGCAAAATCATTCTGTAGAGTAATTAGATATGACATCCTTCCCTGAGGACAAAGTAATTTTAGATTCTGCTGCAGCTACATTTTAAATGTTCTATGGATCCATGGAAACTTGTAGTTTTCTTACCCTGACCCATCTTCTGACTGGCTCATCTCACTTTGTTAACCCCAAGTGACAGAGAAGGTCATCTCTAGTGAACAGCCTTGTTGTGTTTTGCAGGTTATTTTCTATAGTGCTGGGAGCAAAACTGTTTTTAAAGCACACTGCTAAAAGTAGGTGATATAAAAAGAAAAGAAAATTTACTGTTTTGCTAAGGTGTGTATGTGTGAAAGAGACAGAGAGAGAGAGGCTCTCTAGATAAGACTGTAATGTCAAGGTAGAAGAGCCACTTAGCCTGAATAGAGAACATGAAACTATTTTTAAATGCACACTGCCAAGGAAAACAATGAGATTCAGAGAAAAGGAGCCTTAAGCAAGCCATTGAATAGGCCTCCCATATGGACTTGACTGCAAGTTAGCAGATAAGAAAACAGAAAAGAATATCAAGTGTAAAACCTCCTATGGATGACTTTAAATTCATTCATATAAACGAACAACTGTATCTTTGTGTAACACATAAATACATAGATAAAAACATGTTTGCTGCCAAAGTCCCCAATAGGATGCTTCCAGTGTTTTTGGCATTTACTTAGCTGTGTGATCAATGTTCTGAAAATGGCCTGAAAAAATTATTCTATATATAACCCTGAATCTATATTTAAATATAGCATCAAGTCAGTTGTATGAATCTAGAATGTAATTATACTAGAATCTGTCATTTAAAATATTTTGAGATCCCTCCGAAATATTTATATTTATAAAAAGAATAAGATAGCAAAGATACTATATAACTCCTCTATGATGTTTATCTAATATCTTAAATTAGTAATAATGGGTGCTATATGATTATATTTCAGTCACTCTCCTTGGTTTTTTGGAGTCTTTTCCATTTCTCTCATCACTCAGTTTCATTTTAACCATGGGTCACATTTTGTGCTAGGAGCTACCAGTTTCTGCCTCTTAGGTCCTATCATGGCCCCAAAGACAGTCATTTGACTGCCGTTCCTTTATGGAAAGCTGATGTAACCTACACACTGCCATGTCCCCAGTACACCCAGATAAAGAGGCAGGTGCCTGCAGTAAAATTCCATGCTACTGTGTGGTGGCTCCCAGCCAACCACATGGCCTCAGCCTCAACCCTTGGGAAAGTGATCTCTTCCTCCTTGCAAACCCCAAGGTGCAGCTCCAAGGATTTGCTTTTTTTTTTCTTCCCCCTTTAATTTCCCTGGTCATTTCTTAAGCTACTGTATAGAAACCTTTGACCCTGCTACACCTCAGTTTCCTCTCCCTTTTCCCTTCCCAACCCTGGTTTTCCAACCTCATTTTCTAACTGTTACCAACTAGAGCAATTAGAATTCCCACCTACTCAACTCAGAGTAGCAAGGATTCAGTGGGGTGTTATGAGGGGACTGGGGGCCGAGGCATATGCACTGCCCTGATTCTACTCCTCCAAAGACAGCTCTCATTGACGTAGCCATGATTGACCACAGAGCCCAACACCTTGGGTGTAACACTGGTGTGTCATAAACTTAAGAAGTCTGCGTCTAAGTACTATTTGCAGGGTTTTCTGTTATCCTTACAACATAGTTTTAAAATACGTGAGGATTTTATGAGTGCTTTATACAGACACATTATAGCAAAGTGTTTTTAGGTACCATTTACATTGATAACATTATAATAAGAATATGTTATGTCTGAATACAGACTTATTGTTTAAAATGTCTTCATATATTGCTACTCGATCAAATAAATTTCTTAGAAAATGTGCATGTTTTTTTATTTCACTCCTCTTACAAATGACTTGTTTAGTGTTTGATTCACTTACCTCCAGAGGTTATGGGAATCGCTCTGATTTAGATAGATGGTCTGAGCACAGTGACAAAAGTGATGCTCTTGGGTCAGTGTCACAATTTCAAGGTGGGTCTGCCATCTTGGCTGCCTGAAAGGTAGAAGGCCACAGGCATCAGAGACAGTGTTGACTGGATGCAGCACCTGAGAAGACTTCAAAATTTCACCACATCTGATATTCCCTTCTAGTTTCAAAAGACTCAAAACATATCAGGAGTCACATGAAGGAGTTTCAGAGAAACTTTCCCTGGATCTGTTCTGGGGTGGGCAATGGGGAACAGTCTTCTCTTGGAGAAACCCACATTTTCTTCCATGACCTCTCTGAGGTATTGGAATGGAAACTTGACAGACCACCTCTTGGCCTTCAGGAGCCAATCTCTGGCAACTAAAAAACTTGCCTCAGTCAGCTCCAAGGTTAGACTCAAATGCATCTTATACGATAGGTGACTCAATGATCCATATCACCTAAGCCCGATGTCCAGGTTTTGGGGCCCTGAACTTCTTGCTGAGCCAACTGTAGGGTAGCTTCCCTTACCTGTCTGTGCTAAGGCCTAAGAGTTTCTGTGTGTCCACTTGTGTCTATGGACAGGCATGGATACACTCTACTATCAGGTAATATTGACAGGCCTTGGCTCTGGGTTTATGGGAACAGGGGTGGTGGTGAGGGAGAGGGACATATCAAGGATTTCTGGTCACATTCCTGCTGATCTTTTCCTGGCTAGTGGCATGGCAGACGACCAGCTTTCAGTGAAAAGCCTGAGTATCTTCTTCATGCTGAGTTTTTGAGGGGCCTTTGGAATAGTGGAGAGATGTCAAGTAGGCAGCTGGATACCCAAGTTTGGAACTCAGTGGAGAGGTCTTGGCTGAAGATCCAGATTTCAAGCTGAAGATGGCACTATGAGCTTGACAGCTTCCTAATACACAAAGATTATTTTGGGAAGGTGTTTATTTTTCCCCTAGTGAATAAATGAATAATATTTAACGAACAAGTAACTTTTTGATCTTTTATTTTGAAATGTGTTAAAAATCAAAGATATACATAACTCAGAGAGCCAGCATTTTTAAACAGTTAACTCATGATGTTGTAAGGTCATGTAAGAGGGCAAGGTCCCGTGGTAGCTAGAACAATGTAACAGCACAAGCAGGTAGTGTGGTTTCAGGTTCCACATTGCAACTGACCTTTCAGAACTCTCACTGGTAGACTTTTCTTGTGGCATTAAGAATATCCACAATTAGCCGGGCACAATGGCACATGCCTGTAATCTCAGCAGGTTGGGAGGCTAAGGCAGGAAGATCACGAGTTCTAAAGTCAGCCTTAGCAACTTAGCAAGGCCCTAAGCAACTTAACAAGATCCTGTCTCTAAATAAAATATTAAAAAGGCTGGGGATATGGCTCAGTGGTTAAGCACCCTGGGTTCAATCCCTGGCACCCCCCCCCCCAAAAAAAGGAATATCCACAATTGCCTCTAAGGTTTATTAAAGTCTCCTCCCTTTTCCAAAGTCTATTTCAGGCCATATTTTCTTCATATACTTCAACCAAAACACCATACTGCATCATACTGAATGCAAAGCAGATGTGAGAATCCAGTTCTGTCTTCTATTAAGCCAGACTTTTTAAAGAGTTGTAAAAATATAACACAAAGTCACTCTATAAAGATATAACACAAAGTTTTTCTTTAGTTTTCTATAATATTTTTCAAGACAAATGTTCTTTAGTATATTCTTTTTTAAATGAAATAATATCATTCTCTAAGCACCTCCAATTCTGGCCTCTGTCACCCTCACCTGGTTCCCGCAATAGAACCCCAACTTTTCCCTCAGCCTCTGACTTCATGTTTGCCAGTCAACCTTTGTGCAGGTGCCAGAGTAATCTGAAAAATTTCAAGAAGGCCAGGTGCAATGGTGCACACACATAATCCCAGCAGCTTGGGAGGATGAGAGGAGGATCTCAAGTTCAAGGCCAGCCTCAGCAACATCAGAGGCACTAAGCAACTCAGGGAGACCCTGTCTCTAAATAAAATACAAAATATGTCTGGGGATGTGGCTCAGTGGTCAAGTGCCCCTGAGTTCAATCCCTGGTACCACCCCACCCCCCGCAAAAAAAAGAAAATTTGCAAAGAGATGAAAACCTTTTGATGGGGCCTCCTTACATAAGAGAAAAGCCTATGTTTTAGGCACTGCCCCTATCCAGTCATCCCTCTTCCTGCACACCAGGCAAGCAAGCAGTGACTTTAGTCTCCGAGTTCAACACACTCCAGCCCACCTCTGCTGGAAATGCCTGCTCTTCCCCCTCCAGCAGGGTCCATGATAAGCTTCTGTGTCTCCCAATTCTCCCAGTTACATGCTGCACTTCTGGAGAGTTAGCCTCCCCCCACTTCCCCCTCTGCTGCCACAGGTGCACACCCACAGTGTGGCTTTGTGTTATAGCTTGTTCTTATCAGAACTTTCCACACCTGCAGATTTAACCCACCCTAAATCAAAATATTGGGGAGGGGGTTGTGTTTCTACTGAGCATGTATAGATTTTTTTCTTGTTATAATACCCTAAACAACACAGTATAATCGCGTTCATAACATTTCATTGTATTAGATACAATAAGTAATCTAGAGACGATTTAAAGTATACAGAAGGTGGTATGCAAAATAGGGATGCAGTTTGCATAAGGCACTTGGGCATCTGGTGGGACCCTGGAACTAATCCACCACAGGCACTGGAGTGACTGCATAGCCACAGCAGGGGCACACCTGCTTAGGTTCTAAAGGTCACTTCAGCTCCTTGTTGAATTTAACAAAACTTTCTTTCACTTAAGCCCTCTATTTGAACATACAACAGTTCTGAAAAAGTGGCTGAGCAGGCATTGATGTCTCCTTTCTAGAAGGGAGAGAAGCACAGAGAAAATAAATGACTGGCCTAAGGTCACATGGCTGGCAGGTGACACAAGTAGGACCCAACACCTGGTTGGTCTGGACTCTTTTCCACTTCCACCTTACAACTTGGAAATCCTTGTTTGTTCCAATGGTGTTTTTACTTTAAGGCCTGATTCTCATTGCATTTGGGGGTCATTTTTATTTTCACAGTTCCAGCACTGTCTGTGCCCACTTCTTCTTGGTTCCTGTGTCACTGGATCCTGGATGGTTGATGCTGCATTAATTATTAACTTGCTATTTATTGGGACAAACTTATCCTCAATGACTTTCAAGGTCTCCCAGCTCTCTTCTTCATCCTGTCATGAAAAAATTCACCTCCTTCTGTTGCTAAAAGCGTGGTCCTTGTCCCCGATGCCAATCCAATAGTGGGGACAGAGTTTTGAGAAAAAGGAAAAAGATGGTTTATTGCTTTGCTAGCAAAGGAGAAACACAGGGGACTCCTGTCCCAAAGGCTATGATTCCGCCCATCAGCAGGAACAGGGGGCTTTTATAGAGGTGTTTCAGAGAAAATGAAATTAGGGAGGAAAGATCAGGGAAAAGTTTCGAGAAAAGAAGATCAGGGAGGAGAAGGTCATGGAGAAGGAGGTTGGGAAAAAAGAAAATAAAACATGAAAGTTTCAAAGCCACAAGGGATATAGTCAAAGCATCAAGTGAACCCCTGTTACATGTCCGGTATCCAGCTATGCCTGTCAAACTTCTTACCTGCCATTCATTCATCAAGCAAAACAATGCTATGGTACTTAGCATTGCTGGGCCAGCACCCAGGCCTGCTCCCTAGAGAAGGTAGCATCACAACTCCATATTTTTATGCTATTTTAAAACAACTCATACAGGAAGGGTACCTTGTGCCTTAAATGATTATAGCCATTTAATTCTACATATAATTATACCATTTGTGCAGAGACTGGCTGAGGTGAAAACTCAGAAGGATACAGACGTGGAACAAACCTCTGGCCCAATCTCCCAATGGGCCAGCTCCATTCTACACAAACCACCCAAACAGAACTAAACTGAAGCACAAACGGATCATGTTCATAAATGCAACCCAGCTAGGACCCCACCTTTTTCTCAAAACTCTGACCTCATTATTGGATTGGCATTGGGGACAAGGACCCCACTTCTCTGCTTCCCTCCTCTCCAGTTTTCTTAGATGGTATAAAGCTACCACCACATCTTGGTCTCAGATTCTTTCCTGAGGTTATCAAGGGGTTTGCATGCTGAAATGCACACATATTTCTACAGCGGCCTTTTCTTAGAAAAACTTAAACTATTGGCCTATGATTTGTCAGCTCATGTGAAAACGAGGGGTCCTAGTTACATTTTGCCTAACAGCTTTCTCATCTATGTGGTTCACCCCGACCTTGCTTTTAGATCAAAGCGGCTCTAAAGCACAAAGATAAAAGAGACAGAATCGTGCCTCAGACTTGGCTCTAAGGTCAGATGTGTCTCTGAACACCAGCTGTCAAAATCTCTGGGGGCCACAGTATCCTATATGTACACTTTAAACTTCCCTAACATATACTTGGCTCTCGGGTTAGTCCTCATCCCCTTTCTGATTGTCAAGTTGAATCCTTAAGCCTTCTGGAATCTTGGCAACCACATCCTTATAGAGAGCCAAAGGGACAGGGAACCCTTACAAGGCCACTTCTGCTTACTGCAGAAATGGCTGAAAGCTGGGTACCTTAGCACTCCCTCACTTCTCTGGACATGTTTGACTGGGGCAGAAGAAGAGCCAATCCTCCACATCAGGCTGTGGAGATGCTCTGTGGTGGTAGAAAACACCAACCTTGATTCAGTCATCTCCACGAGGTGACAAGAAGGAAGAATGTGTTTAGCTGTGGCTAGCATTTAGCACATTTTGAACTAATTCCATTGCTTATCTTCAAGTACCTATAAACTGGGAGTAGGTAGAATGGATCTGCATGGAACACCTAATGGGTATATTTTGCCCTTAGGAAGGATGGAGAGCTGGGAGTGGTGGTATATGCCTGTAAACCCAGCAACTCACGAGGCTGGGGGCGGGGGGGGGGGGGGGGGTTGCAAGTTCAAAGCTAGGAATTTTGGGCTGTTCTTGAAATAAAAAATAAAAAGGGCTGTGTGTGTAGCTCAGTGGCAAAGTACCCCTGGGTTCAATCCCCAGCACCAAAAAAAAAAAAAAAAAGAAGAAGAAAATAAAAGGATGGAGAGAAGTTCTTGTAGAAGCAGGTTTTCAAAAATTCACAGACTTGTATTTGGCCATTAGTTTACGTTGGGAGATTGGGCAAGTCATATCTCCTATTTGGGCCTCAGTTTCACCTGTACAATAAGATTAGACCAGGTGAGGGCTCTTCCACCTCTGTGTCCCTGGTTCCAAATGAGCACATTTTAAGGACTGGAATGATCTCTCTTTGCTCCATGTGTCTCTTGTTATCCAACTGCATGAAGGTGAGGATCATTTTTTTTTTTTTTAATGAGAATGATCTGGGTGATTAGACAGTCTCCCCAGCTGCCCTACCCACTATCCTGTCTATCCAAAAGAGCATTTACAACCTTGCCCTGTCCTTCACTAATGCTGTGTTGGCTTAAGGTCACATCATTATTACTATTCAGAAATGTATTGGATCCTTTCATCACCAATGTTCAACATTTTTCCTTTTAAACCATTCAAAAAAGTTTTTCAAAAGTTATCCTCAAAGCAGCTGAAAAAAAAAAAAAAACCTCCAGAATAATGTTAATCAAGACTTTCCTCTGGAGAAGACAGAATTGTTGAATTTTAGAGCAAATTCAGTATGTAAATTATAACTAGTGCAAAAGTCTCAAACTGAAGTATGCATCAGAACAATCTGGATGCTCCCAGTTTGCTGGGCCCTGCCTCCAGAGTCTGATTCAGTACATCTGAGGCAGGGATCATAGATCCACATTTCTAAATTCTGATGATACTGTCATTCAGGGAGATATTATGATTTAAACATGAGGTGTCCCCCCAAAACTCATGTGTAAGACAATGCAAGAAAGTTTGGAGGTGAAATGATTGAGTTATGAGAGCCTTAATCTAATCAGTGCAAAATCCACTTGAATGGATTAACTGGGTGGTGACTATAGGAAGATAGGGTGTGGCTGAAGAAGGTGTGTCACTGGGGGCACGCCTTTGGGGAATATATTTGGTGAGTGGAGCTCTGCTTCCTGATTGCTATGCACTGAGCTGCTTTCCTCCACCACACCCTTCCACCATGATGTTCTGCCTCACCTTGAGCCTGGAGTTGTAAAGGTAGTCTATGGACTGAGACCTCTGAAACCATGAGCCAAATAAACTCTTCCTCCTCTAATTGTTTTTGTCAGGTCTTTTGGTCACAGTAACAAAAAAGCTGACTAAAACAGGAGACCACACTTTGATGGCCCTTAACTAGTCAATCTCATCCCCTTACTTGACAGGTGAGGAAACTATGGTTAGAAAAATTAAATGCAAGTGTCTTATTCTTTCTGTTCCTATAATGAAATACCTGAAGTTGAGTTAATTCTTTTTTTAAAAATTTTTCATCTTTAATGAAATGACTTTGGAAATAATGTGCATTTCCATGACACCAATACTACAGTTTTTGGAGTCACACAGTAAGATACACAGAATTACATCCATAATTACTATGAATGCCAACATTTCAAGTAGTAATTTCTGTTACATGGCAAACAAGATCAAGAAAGCAACCATCAAACAAAAGAGACCCATAGCTTCAGACAAGGCAAATCCCAGGAGAGCATATGAGAACAGCTGCTGCTTCAGCGAAGGATTTCTGGCATAACCAATGAAAAGGCTGCCAAAGACTGTTCCAATACCAGCACCAGAACCAGCCATTCCTACTGTTGCAGCACCTGAACCAATAAATTTGGCAGCAGTATCAATGTCTCCGCTGATTGCACTGGTCTGAAACTCCCTTTGGATTAGCTGACATTCACCATTCTGGGCCCCATTAAAAGCTGTAGAGCTTCTCCAGGTCTAGTCTCTGGTCAAGATAACACTGATACAGAAACTGGTCTGGAATCAGCTCGGATCAGAGCGGGGGTGCAGGTAAACATCTTAGACTCCTTGGGGCGGTGGGGTTGGAGGATCTAGGTGACAGGCGACATGACGGGGGCTCCTCTCCTGCTTTCTCTCTGCCCGGGAAGTGGCAGCGGAGGCGGCAGAGATTAAAGGAGTGGGGCCTGAGTAAGTTCTTTTTAAAAAGGTTAATTCAACTCACAGTTTTGGAGGTCCAAGGGTCATAGGACCACATCTGGTAAGGGCCTCCTTACTGGTGGGGATTCTGCAGCACAGGGCAGCACATGGCAAGTCAGAGCCAGCTTGCTAGCTCAGGCCTCTCTGCTTGTAGAGGAACTAATGCAATCCTGGAGGCCCACCTCAGGCCCCATCTAGTCCTACTCACTTCCCAAAGGCCCTACCTCCAAATACTATTAAGGGATGAAGAACAGGTGGATCAAGTTTCCAGCACCTGACTTCCCACAGACACGTCCAAACCAGGCACCAACTAAGGCTCGAACCCAAAGATTTCCTGTTCACAGACCAGAGCTTTTGTTGGCACTGTTACCAAAAGCTCAGTCCTTGTCCCTGATGCCAATCCGATAATAAGGACACGGTTTGGAGAAAAAGGAAGAAGTTTTATTGCTTTGCAAGCAAAGGAGAAACACAGGGGACTCCAAAGTTGGAGTCTCTAGCTGCCCCACCCTGCTATCCTGCCTACCCAGAAAAACATTTACAAGCTTGTCCTGTCCTTCACTAATGCTGTGTGGGCTTAAGGTCATATCATTATCACTATTCAGAAATGTATTGGGTCCTTTCATCACCAATATTCAATGTTTGCTTTTAAACCATTTAGAATTTCTCAAAAGTTATTCTCATGTGATCGTGTTATCCTGTTCATGGAATGTGATTTGCCCATCAGCAAGACCAGGGGGCTTTTAAAGGGGTTATTCAAAGGCTACATTGTCGCGGGCCAGCCATGGGCTGTGTGTGTGAACTATGAGCATTTGAGCGTATGAGAGGAGTGGCCTGGTGTTGCGTGCTCTTTGAGCCGTGCAACACACGTGTGCACTTTCCTCTTGCTCTGCCTGTGTTCCCACACAGCACCTGAGATGAGTGTCAATCTTGCCAAGATGTCAATCAGTCTACTGACCACAAGACATCATGAAGCTAGACTCAACCCCCAGAAACCTGACCCTTTGCCTTATTTGGAAAGAACATTCCATGGAACCTCCCTCTGTGTCCCCACTCTTTCCAACAGATGCCTAAGGTTGTGAGCCGTCACTGGACCCCAAGAAAAAGGTACTTCCAGTGTCTGTGTAGTTATTTCATGCCAACCCAAATTCACCTGGAGTGACCCTGAATGATTTAGGTGCATGTTGCAGCACTACATTCCACCTGTTATGTGTTAGAGTTGTAATTCACTTGTTAATTTGGGAGCTAGATAATTCTGAGGTCTTCTGGTGCCATCCCAAAAGTCTGGGTTACTTTGTTCCTTTGTGTGTGCTCAAGGACAGATAATTCTGCCTTAATAGGGGAAGAAAGGTAATCCTCTTCCCCTGAGATTAGGGAGGGGGAGAGAATAGGGAGGAGCAGGGAGACAGGAAGAGAAAGAAATATATGTCTATTTTAAAAATATGTTGCAGTTAGTGGCTCCGGAGGCTGAGGCGGGAGGATTACGAGTTCAAAGCCAGCCTCAGCAAAAGCGAGGAGCTAAGCAACTCAGTGAGACCCTGTCTCTAAATACAAAATAGGGCTGGGGATGTGGCTCAGTGGTCAAGTGCCCCTGAGTTCAATTCCTGGTACCCACCTCCCAAATAAGTTGCAGTGACAGAGCAGCAAGGGCTACATTCAAATCATAAAGTGGATCACTGTTACAGCACTAGGTCAGGGGTTCCCAAACTTTTCATAGAAGAATTACTCAAGGAACCAGTTAAACTTCTAGCTCCAGGAACTCATGCTGGGAATAGTGTTTCTTAACTCTGGTTGCATGTTGAGATCAGATTCTGATGCAATTTATCTGGGCATCAGGAGCCCTAAAGGCTTCCCAGGTGATTCAGATGGGTCGTGAATGTGAGACGCTCTGGTCTGGAGTAGCGTGCAGGAGCCTCCCCTCATGTAGGCACACCAGGTGATGTGAGTGAAGCTGCTGGCCAGCCTGGACTAGGCAGGCTAGTGCAGTCAGGGACGGTCCTACCTCCCCCTAGGGGAAGCACAGTGGAGCAGGAGTGTTAGAGTGAGTTTGCAGAATGACTAGGAATGAGTGGCATGGATGCAAACATTTGGACCAAAGCAAATGTAGGCAGTCTCATTGGCGGGAAATTTTTATCTTTTTAACTCTCATAGTTACTTTTTTTGGCTCTCTTTAGCTTCCCCCCCCCCCCTCAGTACTGGGGATTGAACCTTTGAATCCAAGGTGCTCATCACCAAGCCACACCCTCTGTCGTTTTCTTTTATTTTGAGACAGGGTCTTGCTAAATTGCTGAAGCTGGCCTTGAATTTGTAGTCCACCCCTTCAGCCTCCCCAGTCACTGGAATTATAGGCTTGTGTCCTTACACCCGGCTTCCCTGTACTGTAGCTTCTTAAAGAGTCAAAAAGGCTTGGTGTGGCTGGGTGTGGTGGTGCATTCCTGTAACCCTAGAAGCTCAGGAGGCTGAGGCAGGAGGATTGCAAGTTCAAAGTCACCCTCAGCTAAAGTGAAACACTAAGCAACTCAGTGAGACCCTGTCTCTAAATAAAATACAAAATAGGGCTGGGGATGTGGCTCTGTAGTCAAGTGCCCCTGAGCCCTGGGTTCAATTCCCAGTGCTCAAAAAAGGAAGAAAAGAAAAGAAAAGCACCTGTAAAGCAAATTGTGAGGCTGAGGCAGAAGATTGGTAAAGTTCAAGGCCAGGCTGGCAACTTAGCAACACCCTGTCTCAAAAAAAAAAAAAAAAAAAAAAAATCAGAAAGATGCTTATTTTACTGATTCTGGTATCTGGGAATAAAGAATATTCAAATCAGAATTCTAAGTGTCTTTTCCAGCTCTTAGCTTGGTTATGTGACGTGAGCAATAAATACAATCCCCCCCGAGCCCAGTCATACATGCTTTTATAACCTAAGAATATTAATATCTTCCATCTTTAACTTCACAAGGTTTTAGGAGAACCATGTAGACTATAAATCACTATAAAAGTGAATGCTATTAGTATATTAATCAGTGACACATAGCTGAAAACATAAGGTGAAATATCTCCTAGCTAACTTATACTTGAAAATGCCTTTCATAACTCATATCTGATTTGTCCTCGCTTCTTGGTGCACATAAACATTTAAATCCAATACACAGAACACCTGGGTGTGATAGCATTGCTACCTTAACAAGATATTGTTTCTCCTAAGATAATGGGGGCAGGGATGGACCTCTAAGAAGTCTGTGTGAGAAGAATAAAACAAAGTTTTAAGTAATATAATCCCAATCAAGAAGTTTAGAAGTCTTTTATTTCTTATAGCCGGAAAATTGAAGGAGAAATTTATGGTTTAGTAATGTGATATGTGTTTAATGCAATATGGGCAATGACCATTTAATTCTCTTATTACAATAAGACCTAGAAATACTCAGATAAGATTTTTTTTTTGCCCTAGAGCTGGGGGTGTAGCTTAGTGGTAAAGCACTTGCCTAGCATGCTTGAGGTCCTAAATTAAATCCCAGCAGCCCACAAAAAAGTGAGAGATACAGTGTCCTGGACATTTACCAATATTGATATTTTATCAGAATCATGAATTCCACATTGAGTTCTTTTACATAAGAGCCCACAAAATCCATATAATTACACATTTTCCCAGTTAGAAATCCTCCTAGATAAGTTTATCAATCACCAAGGGTAACTGAGGTGGTAAACTCAGAAAGCAAGTGAAGAGCGCCCTCTGGTGGTTTCTAGCAACAACGGGAATGAATTAGTTCAATCTTATTTTTTTTCTTAAACAATGTTATTATATTTTTCAATCTTTAAATCAGAATATGAAAATCTAGTTCTTCTAGTTTCTTAAAGTCAGACACCCCCCTTATCCATAAGGAATTTTAAAAACTATGCTTAACTGATATACAAAATATTGTACATATTAATGGAGTACCATGTGATGTTTCAATACATGATACAATGTGTAATGTTTAAATCAGATTAAACATATCTATATAATTTTTATCTACAGTCATCCTAATATGCAATAGCACAGTGGAACTTCTTACGCCTATCTAACTGTAACTCAGTACCCATTGATCAACCTTTCCCGGTCTGCCTCAGCCCATGCCCACCCTAATAAGGAGTTTTTGTATTTCCAAACACTCATTGTATAATGGACTACATTAGGATACACTATTCATATTGTCATATATTATTTAGGATATCTTTTACATAAGCCTCGAGGAAAATTTTAGTGGGGGAAGTGTTTCATTAAGAAATAATTTTTAGAACAACCAATAAAAAAAAAGAAATAATTTTTAACGAAAAACAAGTCAATATGGCACTTGTAAATAGAATCTCTTAATCTAAACTTTTTTTAAATTTTTTTTTCTTAATTGTTGATAGACCTTTATTTTATTTATTTACATGTGGTGCTGAGAATTGAACCCAGTGCATCACACATACCAGGTAAGTGCACTATGGCTGAGGCTTAGCCCCAGCCACTTAATCTAAACTTGCCTCACAATTTACAGTGTATTTGTTTTGTTTTAGGGTGGGGTTGGGGATTGCCTTGGGACAGTTGGAGATTGTGATGAGGTTCCAAAGTAACTTACAGTATTTCCTGTTATCCGGCATATGAGCAGAGAACTCCTTCTCTAGAACCTCCCAGCTTTACTCATTTTTGTTTTGAGAGCTCGACACAGATGGCTCCATTTTGATCCTGACAACTTTCACATTACATGGGAGGTGAGTGCAAATTGGGGTAGGTAAAACAAATGTAATGCTCTGCCTTCACAGGAGGACAGGATAGGGTTCTGGGTCTTCCTGTGATTCTAAATGGGCCTTACTTACATTTGTTCTTTAATAGAAAAAAAGAAAAGAGACATTCATTAGAGAGCTATCTTGGATTGGATCACTGATACTTTAGTTATCAAGTTCTTCTATCATTTATATACTACAACGTCCTACCTTCCCCCAGCATAGCTTCCTGGGAGGCAAATGTGGTAAACTAGGCTTTACAAAGTCAGCATGAGGTGCAAGTTCAATACCATTGTGTATTTTGAAACGTTTATAAAACTTCAGATTGTCCAAGCCCCTACTTTTCAATAATGGTATAGGCAATTTTATTATTAAAACACCCAAATTTGGGCTGGGGCTGGGGCTCAGTTGTAGAGCACTCGCCTAGCATGTGTGTGGCACTGGGTTCGATCCTCAGAACCACATAAAAATAAACAAATAAAATAAAGATATTCTGTCCATCTATAACTACAAAACACCCAAATTCTTTCTCAGAACCAGTATATACACACAAACTGATAATTCCATTGTGTTCTTAAATGTCCATTTAAAACAGAAACAAAAGGAAGTGATGAGAAGCCCCTTCACCCTTGAATTTCCACAAAATTAGTTTCACAGTCTTCCTCTCTTGTAGAACCTTCCGACTCACTCCACTGGTTCCATTCCTCTCTGCCTTCAATCTAGGGGATCCTTGAAATGTGAAGGACAGGTCATGAGAAGACACTATTGAGAAATGGAGCAAGTGTCGTTTTTAAATCTGACATTTAAATCCACCTTCTCTATTCTTTGTTTTATTGTCACATTGACTAGTTTCAAATTCACAATGAGGAATGGGTAAAGAGATCTACTTTCAAGCATAAAAGCAAAGAACAGAAGCCCAATGGGGTTTCTATTTATCATTTTAGCAAGAAAACTGTGAAGCAATTTTCTTGCAATATAATAATGTTGTTAAGGAATCAGCTGTTCAATTGTAATAACATTGCATTTTTGCTATTTTATGTTATTTTCTCCGATAACTAAATAAAACAGTAAACAAACAAAAGAGTGGGTCAATTCTTTTCATCTTGAAAAATCAACTTACCTTTTCTAGTTGCTGCATTATATTCTTTTTATTCCCGTTCAAATGAATAATATAGGCCATGTTGCTATTCCCGCCCCCCGCCCCCCAAGATTCTGCTATTTACTTTCATACACATTGCACCAAAATTTTCTGTCCATCAATCTGGATACTTTCTATTGAACTGTCTTCCCATTTAGTAATCTTCTGTTGCTTCTAGCCTGTTAACCTCATCTGTTGAATTCTTATTTTCAGGCATTCTAAATTTTAGTCCTAGAATTTATTTCACTTCTGGAACTTCTCCTATATTTATGACATTTATTTTTAAAGTCCTTGTACAATATCTGCAGTATCTTTGTGTGGTCTGTAAGTTTTGTTTCCAGCATGCTACATATGATTGGATATGACCTTACAGATGGAAATCCATTGTGGTGCTGGATGAGAACATCTTCTCTCAAGAAGGGCTAAGATTGCTTTTGCAATTAGACAGCTGCTAATGTCCAGCTAGCCACCTTGGTTCCATTAAGTGTTAGTTTTAGGCTCTGTTAGGATTGGTCTGTTTCCCTTTTGCTTTTTCCAGGTGTGTGACCCTCAGTTCTAGGGCCTGACCTTTATTCCTAGCTGAGCCCTCCCTCTTGTAGGATAACACAAAAAAACTCAGGATGTTGCCTAGACACATCTTAGTTGCCGAGGAACCCTGTCCTGAGGAAATCTCTAAGTCCTTTAGCTTCCCAGACAGGGGTGGGATTCAGGTGAGATAAGGAAGGTGTCTCCGGCAAGGCACCACCATGAAAATGAGCACTTGTACTCCTGAGGGGCCTCTGGCCTCACCCTAGTCCTTGATGCTGCTCTCTGCTACTCTTTCCTGCTGAGTTTTAGGATTCATTGCCTTGAAATGACCCCATGTGTTTGGGGGGCCTGCCTTCTCTGTGCACTCTCCTCTTTTGAATTTGTCCTTTAAATTTCTAGCTTTTAGTCTGTTCTCTCTACTCAGTAAGACTGTCACTTTTACATTCTCTCCCCTTCACCCCTCAGGGAGCTGTCAAGTGTTCTTAGGGAAAAGATGGGGGTGAAGGTGGTGCTGGTCCCAATGCTTGCCGTTTTCCAAGGTTCAGAGCCCTTCATGTTCCTGGCTACACTGGTTACCCTCCAACACCAACAATGGGTATTTATGCTTTTGTCTAGACAGATTAGTCTCTTTTACTGATTGCTGGCATGTGCAATAGACCAGACTTTGGTTCTGGTCTTTTGGGGATGCTGTTTCTGTCTTCCCTCCCTTTGTCCTACACCCAAACCAGGCCATCCTTCGGCCTCAACCAAATGTGCATTTATTGTGTTGTTTCTGAATAACTTTTATTTATGTGACAAAATGTTGTTTGTTTGGTGCTGGGGATCCAACCCAGGGCCTTGTGAATGCAAGGCAAGCACTCTACCAACTGAGCTATATCCTCAGCCCTGATATGACAAAACATCGTATTATAAATGTTAAGGAAAAAGCATAAGCTCCAAACCATATATAATGTAACCTAACTTTAAAAATCGTCCTCATCTGTATGTGTCTACACACCTGTTTATCTGGCCAGATGAAAAATAAATAAAATGTTAAGTTATTTCTAGGTAACAGAACTATGTGTTATTTCTACTTTTAAAGGGTTTCCATGTTTTAAAAGGATCAATTAAAGTATTACTAGCTACTTTCAGGTGATAGGATTGTGTTTTCTAAAAGGTTTTCCATATTCTCTAAAGGTACACTACTACTTTTTTTTTTTTTTGGATACTGGGGATTGAACCCCGGGTTTCTTAACCACTGAGCCACATCCCCAACCCTTTTTAGTTTCTATTTTGAGACAGGGCCTCAATTAAGTTGCTTAGGGGCTCGCTAAATTGCTGATGCTGGCTCTGAACTTTCGATCATTCTGCCTCGGTTGCTGGGATTACAGCTGTGAACCACCATGCCAGGCTAACACTTTCTTTTTTAACAAAATGTTCTTCACATCCTAAGTGAATCATCTATCATTGAACAAGAATGTGAATATGTGAATATATTTGATGCACTTAAAGATGGCCAAGAAAAAAGTAGGAGTCCTAGTAGACTGCCAAAAAAAATAAAGTGAATTATCCATGTGTAGAGTGGTGGGAAGTTAAAATAATTATGGGATTTGCATAAATTGCTGGGTCCACTTACATTCACATTTTAGATTTTTGATACTGATATATCCAGGATTTGATTGTTCCTTTCAACACCATCATAATTATCAAAAAACCCATTAAGAAAATTCTAAAATTATTTCTCCAAAAGGCTTTAAAATTTTTTTATGTCAGGCCACTCTTTCTGACCAAAGTATGACTTGATTCACAAACTTTTACAATCTCTGTTGGAAACACAAGATAATTCCTAATGATAGCAGGACTCACTTTTCTTGTTTGTATTTTTGTAAATAAATTTCACGATAATAAATAACACCACTCTCTGAGAATGTTAAAAACTTAACTTATGGTGACACTGGTGTAGGTACTGACTAAGGTGCTGACTAAATGGTGTAGGTACTGACTAAATTTTTCAAATTTAGCAATCACCCAACTCTCTCTCTCTCTCACACTCATACATACACAAACACACACACAAACAAAATCTCCAAAACCAATCATAAATGCCAACGTTATATGTTTTATTTTTTAATCAAGTAATTTTAAGCCTCAAAATATCCATAATTGAAAGAATAAGACATGAAGCATGAAGTGAGAATATAAACCCATGTCTACAGAAAGACAAATAGCGCTTCAGTCCACCGAGGTGACTGACCATGCGAGAAGTGCCATTCCAAACATCAACTCCATTTTTGTCCTTTAGAAACAGACAGTTCAAGTGTTTTTCTTCTTCACTTGTAAACAACATGAGTCAAAATGGACAATGAGGTGATCTAAATACTACGCAGGATTACTTCAAAACACTAGATAAAACACCGTATTAAAGACATATAGAAATCAGGGTCCACTTTGGTCTCTAGTATGGTTAGAGTTGTTAATACCAAAAAAGCAACACACACTAATTAAAGCCAGCTTGGTAGCGGGTGCCAGTGGCTGACAGATGTAGGCGATTCAAGAGGTAGTCAACGACATTATGTTCAAGCTGGTAACTCTAACAAGGGTTAAGCCACAGATGTATTAAATATAATACTTTCTCACAGTACAGTACTTTACCATAACTTTGCAGCTTTGTTCCAAACATAAAATTAACAAGGAATCATAGGTCAACCTTCCACTCTAAGTGAACAACTAGGAATCAGATCACACAATCACCACATCTTAAAGAGGTTGTTGACAGTTATGCAAGACAGAATTCGAAGCTTTCAACAAGTGTTCTTTCCTAAAACAAATCTCATTAAGACATCTAGAAAATTAAAGTCAGTGCGGCTGTACTTGTACATACTTTCCCAATTTTTATAACCGTGGGAAACACACATATATATTTCATGATAAACATTTCTTAGAGAAAACAGATAAATTAATTTAAGTTAACTTTAAGACTTAATGAGATTTCCCATGGCCTGTATAACTCATCATACAGTGAACGTTAGAATCTATTAACACTTATGGGCTTCTATTCACAAACTAAATACAACCAGCAGTAACTTGGGACTGCACTGGTGCAAAATAAAACTGAGCCAGAATTCAAGGAAAAAAAATATTGGCAATAAAAAATATCCTATATTTGGAGGTGGGCTGATGTTAATAACATGTTGCTGGTATTTTTTTTTTTACATTGCACACTAAAGTTCCAAGTTAAAAGCAGGTGAAAAATCTTTCTAAGAATCTTTCCATTTTAAAAATACATCCCAAGACTAGAAATGCAAGTATAAAAATGCTTCCACTATAATCTGCCATGTAGCAAATATGTAGCTTACAGGCTAAGAGACTGGTAGTGCATCTTCTTTAGGAATTACATTTGTGTTGACACGAGGGTGAGGTCAAGGGACAGCTTAATTCACAGATCCTCTTCCCTCAGTAGCTAGGAATGCATTGCACTTTTGAGTTCACTCCTTGGCAAGCCAGTGCTAGTTAGTTAAGCCTCGGGAGCTGCAATATGCTTTGGCTGCAGGGCAGCAGAGACATGTAAATGAAGGAGATTGGCATCTTTTATAACTGTTTGCCCAGCATGAGCTCCCTCATCCTCAAATTCCTGCTACCCCTTCTTACCCCCCACCTGTGGGCAAAGCAGCTATTTCCAAGATTGCTTCTGTGTTCTGTTTTGCTTAAGTAGAAGAGTGCCCATAATTCTTTAAACTAAATACAAGATAACTTCAAGGAAATACTTGGAGCCTTAGCTGACTAAAACAAGATGCTTCATTATTCATAAGAGTTTGTCAAAAACACACAGTTGTGATTTGCTATCTATAATATAGATAAAAAAGATTCTGTACCAGAGTTGTCAGCCACGTGAGGCTGGAGCAGCATAAAGGTGTGCTATGTATCAACTATGAGGTAGCTGTGTGCTGTAAACACAGTATTTAACCCATGTAAATGAACCATGTGCTCACATCAGCGATCTTCACATCTGGAAGGAGTTGAGGGATTTTCACATGAAATAAAAACAGAAGAACTGATATCTGCTATTCAGGATTTTGATCTCGGTCAAACTTGGAGGTAGTTGCTAATATCAAGTACACATACTCACACAAAGTTCTGTTATTTGGCTTGTTTTGAGTAAGCAGGACTGTAGACTACACTGTAAAGAAACAACAACATTATATGATATGTTCCCTGAGCAAAGTTCTTTGTCCTGAGTATGTTATGTAATAGTGGCAATTTTCTCATATAAAAAATAAATCCCAACTCTTAACCATAAGATAGGTTTGGTATGTGCTTTTAGTAGTTCAGTCTGGTCAGATGCTGGAACAGATTTTAAATTGCACCTATATGGTCCACAGTTCTCAAGTGTTTCTGTTTTCATTTTTTACCACGATCTCAGCTCTGAACTTTTATATGTAAACAGGAATGTCCAATGTTCAAGTCCATAATTTCCTATGTCTATAAAGTCAAGGAACTTTGGTTTGAAATTTCAAAGTGACGTATTTTGCATTTTACTGTTAACCTGCTTGTTATACCTGCTAAAAATTAAGCAATGCCACTTTGATTTGTCTACATAATTTAAATAAGCTTGAAATCCTCACATAAGGCAAGGAAGTACTTCTCTACAGCTATATCACATTCAATATCGTCAAAGGTAAGCTTTGCATCACAGCACACTGATATTTCAATATATACCATGGAGATTCTCAAACACTGTCATGAAATTCAAGCTGAGCTGTAAAGCACTGGCAGGCCAGTCTGAGGCATTTTCTTCTGGTGGCTTGCTGAAACAGCAGCGACTATACCAATATCCCACGACAGCACATGTGGAAGAGGGAGCAGGAACTGTTCAGCAGAACATATCACATTTGAGTCATTCTAATTTCTTTCTGATTATCTGAGCTTATGCCAACAGGCCCATACAAAACTATATTTATTGCCAATATTAAGCACATAATTAACTGGTACCTTCTTAGAGATGTTTCAGAAATTTGCCTACAACATCTAGAACCAGGATGACTCCAAAATAACTTTGTTCATAACTGAAACATTAAGGGACCAGTACTACAACTGGTCCCTAGCCAGTTTGTTACTATAACTGAGAACCAATCCCAGAAGATCCTCATCCTCAGTATCTGTTTATCCTGAATTCACCATATGGGTTACTTCAGCCTAAGCACTGAAGGTAACTTCCATCAGATCAATGCTACTGTATGAGATACTTACAGCTACTATTTGGCTTGTTTTGAGTAAGAGGTTTTTTTCCCTCTGCCCCAGGCTTGTCACTCTAGTTGCCTGCCACAAAACATAACACTTTTTAGCATCATTCACAGGTCATACCTATTGGCAACTGTGAACATCCACTGAATTTTCATTCTCAACCCCAGTATTTTATTCATTTCCATGCTGCTTTTGTTTGTTTTAGAAATGAGTTAGAGAACTCTCCAGGGGAAATAAAATCAGCCACCAAAAATATATACCAAATGACTGGAGTTTTCCTCTAAGGTCTTCAGTAGTTAAAAAAAAGGAGGGCTCCCTACTCTACGTGATGGTCAGAAGATCAACTTGGTCAAGGGAAGCTGCTATTGCCACAATCCTTTAAAAACTTCAGAACATGTAAAAGATAACAATGATCTGGTATCAAAATACCATTGAAAATAATCAAGTCACTACATTTATACATCACCCTCCCCTTCATTTCTCTTAATAGGCATGTGATTTATAATCAAAACATAGAATTAAAAACATTGAAATATCGGCACAGAAATTACACATTCATTGTCTTTTCTGGAGTTATGTAGCCCAGAATCAAAAATGCTATGGCAGTCAGAGGCATATGAAGTTAAGGTACTATCTTCAAACAGGAGAGAATGAGAAAAAAAAAACACTCCACAGATATAATATATAAAAAAAAGAGGCAATCTCAAACTTGAGAGATAATGGATATCTTAAAAACCTTTAGTACCATATGATTGGCAGCTCTGAGATCTGAAGTATCCTTTGGTTCACACAAAAGGTAATAGTCATGTTTTTATTTTTATGTAATATAAAAGAAGTGGTACTTAAAACTCCAGGGGTTGTTTTTGAAACCATCTTAAATGCTTCACGTGGATTTTCAATTCTTGGAGATGTCCAATTATGTGAGGGAGGGTGTGTGCTTATAGCTACATACACACATATATAAAGATAACCCCTCTTTATATGTATGTCTACATTCCTGTGTAAAATCTTCATACAAACACACACAGATTCAGGCTCTCTCCCTCTCACACATGTACATACTGATACACACAGTATCTCATTCTCTGAATTACATAAAACATGACACCCTGCTCAAATGCAATTTACTTAGAGTGATTTGTCTGTTTAAAAAAATTCACAGTTCCTCAACAGTAGTTAAAATCCCAGGTCAGCTGCTGTCTGTGAAATACTGTTCCCCTGTACTTGCATGAGGTAGACTTCCCAACTGGGTAGAGAACATGATATGTTAAGAAGTATTATGTCTTTTTCCTTTTCTGAACTGAAGGCCCCTTCTTGTTTTGCTCTTCTGGTGCTGCAGAAGCCTTTGCAGAGGAAGCTTCTTGGGGTGACCTGCCTGACCGTTCTGAGATCTCTGACCTAGCCTCCTGAGGAAATGGTGGGGATGTGCAGCCGTGCCCACCTCCCACTTCTCGCGGGGAGGTCGAAGCACATGGCTGGGATTCTGCTTCCTGTCTTCCCTGAGAACTGGCAGGCAGCTGTGCAACAGTTTTATGTGGGCAATTTGCCACCATGTGCATGATGCTCTGACAGTAATGGCACTTCTTTGGCTGAGGAGGTAGACTACATTCCTTAGCATGATGATCAAGGCCACCACAGTTGTAGCATCTGTAAGCAAGAATGAAGAAAACATCTTAGATGTAGGTAGTATGCTTTGTTAAAAATTTAAAGTAAAAATTTGATAAGTAATGCAATTATGTAAAATAATCATTTACACAGGAATGTAGACATTATCTTTAAAATACCAAAATACACAAACTGTCCATGAGATCGGCTTATTTTAATGTACCTTCTTAAAAGTAATGTTACTTATACTGTTATACTGGTTGCTTCAAGGACATCAGCACCAAAACATTCTGGCAACTTTAAAAAATTAATTTTGTTAAACACAACAATCAATGAAAAGCATAAGTACTAAAACATGAAAGAATATACACTCATTTCCATTTACAGATGATTTGTTTAAATTTAACAGGGTATTATATTTTATTTTTGTGGTACTAGGTATTGAACCTAGGGGCCCTCTACCACTGAGCTATATCCCCAGCCTTTTTTATTTTGTGACAGGGTCTCATTAAATTGCCCAGGCTAGCCTTGAACTTGCAATCCTCCTGTTCAACATCCCAAGTGTCTAGTATCACAGGTGCACATCACCACAACTGGTCCATCAGGTTATTTTTAGAGAAAAGGTTAGTCCACTAGAGGGCAGTCAATACTCAACAAAATAGCCAGGTAGCTTTGAAAACAACAGTATAAAAATACAGCTGTTTGCTGTGATGTGAAATAGCAATTTGCTCAGCAAATGGGAAAATATGGACCAAATTAAATTTTATGAATTTAACACCTCTTTGGGTGTTAATTATTTTTACTGTGGAAGCCAGCAGAACTAAAGCTTTTCCTTTGTACAAAATTAAGTAGTACACTGAAATTTGATATATAAATAAAATATCAAGTCAGAAAATCTGGCAAATTACCAAGTAATTTTATAGCAATACCAGGATAATACTATAAAACAAACATTCTAAATACTTAGAACAGATTAATAAAGTATTTCACTAGTTTAGTGACCAGAAAAGTTTACTTTCTTTTCTCTGTGGAAATTAGTTTTCCTTAGGGTGAATTTTTCTACATTGGAATAAAGAGTAATCCATAATATTTGAATGTACACAGGAGGGACAAGGTTTTGTAGTAGATGCTTGAAAATTTAAGTTCGTTTCTAACTTAAATTTAAATTTAATTTAGCTGAGCAAGGAAATTATTTGGAAGCTATCTCGGCTCAATTTCAATACATGTTTTTCTTTTAAATTGAGATATTAAAAACAACAAAAGTGGAGAAATAAAGGAAAATTTATATTTACAAAGGTTAATCTGAATATTGCAGATAGAATTTATTTAGTGATTTGTTTTCAAGTAAAATGTTTTGAAAGCTTTCTAGTTTAAATTTATTTTCTAAATACATTTATGATTCCACAATTCTCATTACAAAGCACAAATAACAGGTTACGATGTTAAAAAAAAAACACAGATAAATACATAGTAATTGTGAGAATTACTGAAAGATCATAGGAACAACAAAAGTTAATTGTAACTAATTATATTTGTACGTGTGTGAGGGAGTATCTAGCTCAACAACTTATACTACCTTATATGTCAAAGACAAACTCCTATCCTAATAAGCAGTATATGTAGAATACTTAATATTTTATCTTCTGGGATCCCTTTCACAGGTGAATTTTCTCAATTGGCAAAAACAATGGCAACTATTGTCTTCTTTCTAGTTATCAATATTAACCTTACAGATTGTAGAATAATGGATTCACAAGACAGGCTTTTATGCTGTGCAATTATTAACCAGTGTTAATTTGGTAACTTACTATTTATCCTTGTGGTGACTTTTCCATAGGTTAAAAAAATGCATATAATTACTTATATCATGTATATTATCTTTGCAACATTAAGGTGACTGATTATACTATATTTATGTATTATCCTGTGTTTTTTTTTTTTAATTTAAGTTTAGGGCTTTTTTTACTTAAGATATATATATTATATTCGAATATTTATTTATATATATATATATATATAT